CGTCTTGGAGAACGAATTCTTGAAGACATTTTAAGAAAGTCAGACAAAGGAAATATTTTAAAAAATAACTAAGTTCATAGACTGACAGATTTCAGCAACCCTGTTGTTGTCCATTAGCATCTCGTTCTGAGAGCTAACACGAAGCTCGCAGCTTCATCAGTATGGGCAACGCATCCCGGTGCCAATGGCCGACGCTTCCGCGCTCACCGATTTTTTTTTTACTTCCTCTCTTCTAAAATGAATGCTTTTTGTTTGTGTTCTCAAATTTGCACTGGAGACTTATGTAACATTTATGAAGTTGTATGTGTGTGGGGTTTATGTGAAACCGTATAGTGGCGGTGTAAGAATATCCATTACCCCATATCGTCCCGCTGTTATCGCAAGAGACGACAGACGGAAACTGTAACTAGCATCTTCCTGATTACAACTCAAAATAATAAAATCTGTGACAACTATGGCAAAATCCCATAAGGCAATCTAAGGGGAGGCCTTCGTTCAGCAGTGGATTTTTATAAGCTGTAATGGAGGGATGATGCCTTATAACAAGTATAAAGTTGCGTATGTTTGTTAATTGAAGTTTGCAACGTGTGCACTTTTGCGGGTTATCGAAGGCATAAGCCTTGTCCAAACACGGTGTTGTTATTGAGTGCCGCATGTGCAGACATTTTTCATGGGTGCAGATACAGCAATTTCAAAGATAAAAGACAAATGTCAGAAAAATGAAAAAAATACAGCTGATATTTTTAAAGCAATGTGTTTTATTATGATATTATTTTTTTTAAACTAAAAACATAATTTATGATACGGTCCTACTCCACGCGGTATTGTGCCATAAACGCTGGCTGCGTTTCCTCGCTGAATGGTTATACAATACTTTGAGCAAGAAACGAACTACCTCTATTATCACCAACAGCAACGACACGTTGTAGATAAAGTATGTACAGAACCTTTAGGAACTTCACTGTATGTGAACCTCACGGACCGATAGTCCCTACCGAAAATGGCACAGATGTGTAGTCAGTCACCTTTCAGACACTGATACCTGCGCCATTTGAAATTAAAAGTAAAGTCCAGAATATCAAACTTCAATGGCGTGTCACAACTATTTAAGATATTAATTACATAATATAATTAATAGAATCAGGCGTTACTTTGCGGAAATCCATTATAATGGGGTTGTTATAAACTAATTTGCTTAATTCATGTGTCGTACTTTTGAGAGTGGTGTGTCGTGCCTAGTGTGCTGGTGCTGGTGCTGGTGCTGGGGGTGGTAGTGCTGGGATTGACGGCGACGGGTATAGTGCGCGCGATTGAGGGAGGGTGGGAGGTCCCCTTAAAACTGGGCAGGACACATCATTTTCTTTCTTTACGCGGAATTAAGCAAATTAGTTTATAACAAACCCATTACATAATATAATCAAACTTACACTGTGGTTAGAATTTGTATATAGTTAGAAAGAGAAAGATCTTTTTAAATTTTAATATTGATACTTTTCATCATCACCATCATCATCATTACAATCCTTCACAAGTGCACTGCTGAACATAGGCCTCACCAAAGGAATGCCCCAAAGCACGGTCCTGAGCCATCTGCATCCATAGACTTCATGCATGTCTTACCAGATCGTTACTCCATCTAGTGGGGGGTCGACCTACACTTCACATACCGGTACGAGAATCCTTATAGGAGCATTTAAAAGAGATAAATATTTATTACGAAACAATCCTTACTCCCGGAACCAATAATTATTCTGTCAGTGTCATGGTATGTACTTTAAAAAAGTAATAAAATAATTCCAAGAACCGTCTTATCGCTGCACAAAGCGACAGTATGAGGGATCACCTGAAAGATTAATTCCTGACAGACACACAAATTAACACCAGCATTGGTATACATGCGGTAACTCTTAGGTACGTACTCATTTTGTGTATAGCACATGTCAGTATCCACCAAGCATCGCTTCGCGGAAGCCCTGAGGAACGAGACCTGAATTAAAACATCCTCTTACAATGACCAGCGTAGTGTGGCATACTTCTCCCCCCTCCACAAGCCACGTTTCGACGTCTAAGAGGATGATAGGTGGAATGCCACAGACCTAATTAGTTTGGCGGACGGTTTGATAGACAAGTGTTACCGTTAGCTGGTTGGATGATCGAACAGTGAATGAACATCGTCCATTCAATTGTTTCGGAGAAACTCGACTCGGTATTTTTGTTTGGATAATTACAGATATATCGAGTGGCGGGATAATTTTAATTTGTTATTAGGTATCGATTTCATATTTGTATTTAATTTTTATAGCGTATTCGTATTGACTTGAACATCGAAACATTTCCTAAGAAATTCTCCAATTCATTAAATACATCTGGGATTACTGTCGATAAATTAGTCCCGTCAAAACATGTGTGAAAAAGGAACCAAAATAGACGTCCGAAGCTGTAAAATGACACGTTATAGATCTTAATAAAAAGACCCTAAGAAACTAAAGTAGATTTATTAAAGAAAATTGGGTTTCTAGGTATTAAAGTGCTTCTTATTACTTACATTCTCTTATTGGTTATCATAAAAAATAAGCTAATGTAACCCCTTACAGACGCCCCAGTGAAGGGAAAGGGATTACGAAGGAGAAACGAGATAGTAACTATAAAATAGTACGAATTTCAGAACTTTACTTACTTTTTCTAATTACAAAAACATTGTGAGGTAACCAACATGTCTGAGGGATGCAATATTATATTTTCGAGGAAAAGTAATGTCCGTCAAAATGCCACACGCACCGAAGTAACGCGGGCGGGCTAATTAACTACTCTTTAATAATCTAGTTATGAGAGGAGACCTGTGCGCAAAGTGGTAAATACATAGATACATTTAAACGTGGTAGAACCATGCTGCAGCTATATTAGTTGTATAGTTGTAGCACGAATGAGGCGGCTCGACCGGGGAAGGACCAAGCTCTCACAGAATACCAGCGTAACGTAGCAGCTTAACACTGCTGTGTTTCGTATGGTGAGTGTAGAGAAACAGAGACCCTTTTTATTGCAAAAGAGGCATTTCATCTTAGTTCTCACGGGTGACAACGCATCTGCATTTTGATTCTTTATTGAGGATAGATGTTGATGTCTATGGGTCACAGCAACCACTTACCATCAGGTGGACTGTGTGCTAGTTTGTCACCCTATCCTATAAAAAAAGGATAGATAATTTTTTTTGAAATTTTACTCTTTTTATAAGTTATTGTTTTTACCCTTTCGAGTGGACTAAGAAATACCACTAGTTCAAGGTAACAACTAGAATGTCGTCGAAATAGTTACATTAAAAACTTCATCACCTATTAATCATTAAGCCTTTAAGGGTTAGCCTTTTTTTTCGACGGCATTATAATATAATCGATTAACCTATCCGAATTAAGGGAACTTATTAAAAAGAAAAATAATATTGAGTATAATTAGGTTCTCGGTCTTCGATCTGCGAACTTTTTACCTACCCTCTTATTAACTATTAGGGAAGTAACACAAAATATTATCTATGAAACAATTTCTCTCGAAGCTGGTCACACAGAGCAAACAAACGCTATCTTCTAAACTGGGTTAGGTTCGCTATCAAGATAATGGCTCGATAATTCGTTTTAAAGATAATCTGCCACGAACTGTATGTTTGTAATACACTCAAGATGTAAGGCGTTCTTCAAAATGTGAGCCGTCGCCCGAATCTAATCTTCAACCCGAATCGTAGTAATGTGGTAATAACATAATGTTACTCTAAACGTTGATATGTATTATAACACATAGAAAACTACTTGGCCTAGTGGTGACAGTGACCGACAACTACGACTCGGGTTCGAATCCAAGCTGGAGCCAAAACATGTGCAAATTATGTTTTATTTTATAATGGAACTCTACCCACGACTAATAATTACCGCTGGAGACCAGAAAGCTTGTTCTTTTCTCGCCCAAAGAGTAAATATAGCCATTCAATAAGAAACCGCAGCCAGCATTCTTGGCACCGCGGGTAGTAGGACTGTATGATAATTTTAGTTTTTCGTTTATTTTTGTTACAATTTCAAATATACGTACAACAGGCGGTCTTATCACTCTGTAAGTGATCTCATCCAGACAACCTTTGCATAGAGCACTGATACAAATAAAGGTGTACAAACCAGCTTTCAAATAAAAAAAGAATTATCGAAATCGGTTCACCCAGTAAAAAGTTATGAGGTAACATACATAAAAAAAAGAAGTTTCTAAAATCCGTAGAAACTAGTGTTGTTTAAATGTATATCATCATTCATCATTAGAAGCCAACCTCAAAACAAGGGAAGACGTTTGCGGATGTTGCCCGAAAATCTTTACAACCGGCACCCTCTTGTGGTCGAAAGCGGAAGAATGTGGAAATAAAATCAGTTCCAGTAGTGACCCAAGACAAGATTGATAAGGACGGGTTTACTCTTGTTGAGAAGAGACGTCGGTCGCGACCCGTCTGTAACCAGCGTGGGACCGCGAAAATAAACGCGAGTACAACTTTGCGTGCTGTGGAGCCAACCATACAACTCTACATCTCCCGTTTGGACAAAAGTACGTCGGGAGAAGACGTCCTGCGCTTCGTGGAAGAACGAAGCCGATGCCGCATTGAGGATCCGATCTCTTTACATTTGCAGCGTCTGGAGTCTAATAGGTCAACGAACTTCAAATCCTACGTACTCCAGGTTCCTGCAAAACATAAAGAGACATTCCTCGCTCCCGATTTCTGGCCCTCTGGGGTAGTGTTTCGCCGATACAGGGACGCGCCAAAGAAAAAAGTTCCCTAAATAGTGTTAAGTTATGTCTATATTTTATATATATTTTTAGGTTAAGGTATATATTGCTATGGGCCAATGTTAAGACCATTTTTAAGTCCTTGATGCCTGAAATAAAGTTATTGTATTGTATTACAGCCCTTCACAAGTCCACTGCTGAGCATAGGCCTCCCCCAAGGAATCCCACAAAGCACGGTCCTGAGCCACCTGCATCCATCGACTTCCTGCATATCTTACCAGGTCGTCAATCCATCTAGTGGGGGGACGTCCTACACTTCGTCCGCCGGTACGAGGCCGCCACTCGAGAACCTTTTTTCCCCATCGGCTGTCGGTTCTTCGAGTTATATGCCCGCCCCATTGCCACTTCAGCTTACTAATCCTTTAGGCTATGTCGGTCACTCTGGTTCTACTACTAAGTTTATCACGTAGAAAAACTCCGAGCATAGCCCTCTCCATAGCTCGCTGAGCGACCTTGAGCTTCCTCATCCGGCCAGCAGTGAAGGACCACGACTCAGATCCGTAAGTCATCACTGGCAACACGCACTGGTTTTACAGTCTTGTTTTGTTTAAATGTGTAGTGTTTGCGTAAATATAAGGAATCACTGTTACTGTTTATGCTCCTTCTTCTTTATCGTTAACCCGTAAAAATCTACTTCTGAATATGGGCCTTTTCGGTTGTAAGGAGACTTTGGCAGTTGTGATCGCAGTGCCAGACGTCTCGCACCTTTAGCACCACCATCCGTCAAATATTCAATGACTGACTTAAACGAAAACACTATACCGTCATCTGTCGAAAGCCATGTGATCATTCAGATCAGATCGATTTTGACACTCATGAGACATTTTTTTATCGATTTTAATTTTTTTTTACTTCCCATTTGCAGTCGGTTTTAATGAAAAGCCTTTCAGAAATGTGAAGTGGCAGAATTGTAAAATGGCTTGTCTCCAACAATAATATTTTATTAAGGTTGTCCATCGTTATAGTTACAGCCACAAATACAAGTCCACCGCTTTACGTAAGTCGCCCCCAAGAAACGTCACAAAACACGGTACTGAGCTACCTGCATCCATCTACTTATTTTATATATAATAAGGATGACAAACGAAGTGGTTGCTGTGGTCCGCAGACATCTACATCTATCCTCGTTTTCGAATTAAAATGCAGATGCGTTGTCAGCCGTGAGGGCTAAGATAGAATACCTCTTTTCCAGTAAAAAGGGTATATTCTGTTCTCTACACTCATCATATGAAACACACCAGCATTAAGCTGCTATTTTACGCTGGTATTCTGTAAGAGCGTGGTCCCTCCTCGGTCGAGCGGACCCATTCGTGCTACAACTATACTATTAATATAGCTGCAGCATGGCTCTACTACGTATATTTCCTGCATATATTACCAGTTCGTCTCAAAGTAGTTGGGCCGCCCTACACGACACTTACTGGTACGAAGTTACCACTCGAGAACCTTTCTTCCCCGTTGGCTATCGGCTTTATTGTTATAATTCGTCTTCTTCTTCATCAGTTAGCTGAACTATAATTTAAGTCTACTATAGGTACATTTATCATAAGTAAATGTTGTTTGTATCTGCTTCAAATTATCACCTCGTCAACTACCGTTGTGATAAAATTAAACTAGAAACTGTGATATGTTATCAATGTATCAAGATTCACCTAAAATTCAATAAAAACGATATCTAGTCCATCCACTTTAAGTATCTCAAAATTCGTCATTTTATCTTTGTCAACTTAATTCGCGATTATTGAAGATTGTACAATTTTCAACTTGTAATGGGTTTTAAGAAAAAAATATTTCTTATATTTATAGTAAAGAAGATAAAGTAATATTATTTTCACTATTATAAGCCAGTGCTAGGCTACTATCCCACCTGATGGTATGTGGTGATGCAGCCGAAGATAGTAAAGCGCACTGACTTAGCTTAAGAAAAGCCTTATGTGGTAGAGCCACGCTGCAGCTATATTATGCTTGTAGCACAAATGGGTCGGGTCGACCGGGATAGGAGCGCACTGTCACAGAATACCACCGTAAAATAGCAGCTTAATGCTGCTGTGTTTCGTATGAATATATCGTGTAGAGAACTAAAGACCCTTTTCACTCGAAACGAGGCAGCCTCGTACCGGTAGGCGCAGTTTAAGACGACCCCCCACTAGATAGAGTGATGACGTGGTAAGACATGCAGGAAGTCGATGGATGCAGGTGGCTCAGGACCGTGCTTTGTGGCATTTCTTGGGGGGACTACATTCAGCAGTGGACTTGTGAAGGGCTGTAATGATGATGATGATGAGGCATTCCATCTTAGTCCTCAGTGGTAACAACGAACGCATCTGCATTTTGATTCTTAATCGAGGATAGATGTAGATGTCTATGGGTCACAGCAACCACTTACCATCAGGTGGACTATGTGTTCGTTTGTCACCTGTATTCTATAAAATAATCACTTCTTCCTTGAAGACACCCACATTATAATCGGATGGAAAGACCATTGCTGGCAGATTATGCTGCCTTGCTGTACGCATCATGAAAGCGTTATTAAATTGATAACATACGTTCAAAAATAAAATGATTTAAAATATATTATACTTTGAAAATATTAATATTTAATTTATTAAAAAATATAATATTTAATTTAATTATCCAATACAAGCGTACGGCTGAGCGCAGATCTCTTTCCCTGTTGTGAGGAGTAGGGCGGGAAAGAGTTTCGCACTGCCCCCATTGGTAAACATCTCATCTCTTCAAAATATATATTATGAATCCTTAAAAATATATTCTTCCTCACAATCATATTCTTTACCGTCGTACATGCGATAACAATTAAAAATGTAAGTGGTGCTGATGGGAATCGAACTCGAGCGGCTCGCATATATGCTATCGAAAACGAACGGCATCGGACCTAAATTAAATTAACAGAATTAAATTTTGACGAGAACTATGATATTAATAATACAAACTTTTATTTATTACAGTTCATCTAACTTCCATATAGAAGTTGAACATAGGCGTCCCCCTTATATTTCACCATAGGTTAATAATAAAAATAAATGGAGGTGTTTATTATTTGAGCTGTTATCAGTATAATGCTGCTACTCTCGAAAACGTAAACGTTAAGTCTCATGTCTCTCAACTAAGGTACCTAAATCTAAACGTTTAAGAGTAAAGTAAGTAGTAGTAAGTAAAATAATTTCCCGAACGCGTTCGGGAAATTACGGCACATCTTCTCGTCAGGTGGTATACCTGAAAACTAGAAAACGAGACTGTACAACAAGTGCGTGTTGCCAATGATGACATACGGAACTGAGACGTGGTCCTTCACTGTTGGCCGGATGAGGAATCTCAAGGTCGCTCAGCGAGCTATGGAGAGGGCTATGCTCGGAGTTTCTCTGCGTGATAAACTCAGAACTGAGGATATCCGCAGTAGAACCAGAGTGACCGACATAGCCCAACGGATTAGTAAGCTGAAGTGGCAATGGGCCGGCCATATAGCTCGAAGAACTGACAACCGATGGGGAAAAAAGGTTCTCGAGTGGCAGCCTCGTACCGGCAGGCGAAGTGTTGGGCGTCCCCCCACTAGATGGAGTGACGACCTGGTGAGATGTGCAGGAAGTCGATGGATGCAGGTGGCTCAGGACCGTGCTTTGTGGCATTCCTTGGGGGAGGCCTATGGTCAGCAGTGGACTTGTGAAGGGCTGTAATGATGATGCTGATGAAGTAAAATAATAAGAGAGTAAAATTATTTTATAATAAATCTTTTACTATTTATTTATTAACATAATCTAATATTATACAATATTTATAACAATAAAAGAACTAAAAACTTAAGATATCGTAATAAATTTCTGCCTCGTGGTAAAGTGTCATCGCTGAATGACTATTGCGAAAATTTAAAAAAACTCAAATCAATATAAACACATGTAAGTAATATGTTTTCTTCTTCATAAATTAACCCAAAGAGACGACACTAGATGATTGCGTTCAGTCAGCTTAAAAAGACTTTTACTTATTATTCTTAACCGGGGAATAGACCACGCTCTCACAGAATACCAACGTAGCGAGGAAATGAGAGCCGAGATACTATTTAAAATTAGGTATTTGAAGAAACTACGGAAAGTTTGTCCTGCAGATCCGACTGAATAGCCTAAGTAAAAAGGCATAATTCGAGGTTTGGCTCTCTACTATTTCCTCCTCCAATATTGGACCAATTTGAAAGATATTTCATTAACAAAATAAGAAGAATATACACTGTCCCTATGTTTTTCTTTTTTCAGTATTAGTTATCAAATTTGAACACTAGGCCTCTGTTGACAGCTAAATAGGCAATTTTGCAATAGCAATTTAGTGCTTATAAAGATAATGTATCATTAAAAAGAAAAACATAGGGACATAGAAAAGGTTGATATTCATACTCGTATAATTGTAAAAATTCATTACTATAAGGTCATAAACCAGAAAGAAAACCGGCGTGAACGTTTGTATTGAGAAAAGACCACCCACATTTACTCTTAAAGAAACGAAGCATTCTATCTAAGTACTTGCTGGTTACAACGCATCTCCATTTTGATTCTTAGTCGAAGAAGGATATAGATGTTTATGGGCGTCAGCATTAACTTACTTTCTGCTGGACTGTGTGCTCGTTTGCCACCCATATTCTAAAAAAATCTAATGCTCGTCAGAATTAACAAACTATTAATTTTCTTGCATAAGATAATACAGTATTCTTATTAATTATTAACAGCTTTATTCGAACCCTTTCGCGACATTTCTCGTAATTTGTTCAATCCAATATATATCCTTTAGATTGTTATATAGAGTACAATCTCTAATAACAAAATAATATATCTATGACTTGGTTGGTTGACTAAGCCAAGTTTCCAGGGAACACCGGAACCCGCATCGTACGCAGGCGCGGCCCTGACTTCTTATCAGTTGAGTTATTCAGCAACGGAACGCGAAAGAACGCAAACACTAAATAAATAATCGTATACCATAGAACGTGTAGTAACGTTTTGCGAGGGGGAATATTTATGAGTACAAACCGTAAAAACGTGGTCTCTTGTAAAACACAAATATATGGAACATTCAATATAACTCGGATCGATGTGGTCAAATACAAGCTAAATTTTTACAGAGTAAAAAGTGACAACTTAATATATATATTAATAAATTCATTGAAATTGAATGTTATAGAACTTTCTACTATGTCTATATCCTTCGCGCAAGTGCAAGCAATATGTTGTTGACAAAGTTTTACCGAAATCTGATGAACGGTATGGCAGCGCATAAAATACGAACAAATAAACATATTTTTTTTTAATATTAGATAATGAAATGATTCTCTTATCATCAAAACGAC